ATAGATTCACTAATTACTGTCATAAGTGCTCTCAAGAAACTGAATACATTAGAAAAAAAATTAGGTCAAGAATCCTACTGACAAACGCTAACTCTATACTGAAGTCATGTTCAGTAAGAAACCTGTAATAACTGGAATGTTCAACAGGTAATTACCCTTCTCTAAACATTTCTACCTATTGACTGGTATATAGAAAATTGTCCTTTCTACAACACTCTTCTGCCTCCAATTCAGCATAGATTAGAATCAAGTGTATGTCTTTAATAGCTTCTACAAGGTCCCCATGAAGATAGAAAGCTCAGCTGCCCTCCATTTAGAATTTACATTTGATGTATACTATAGGGACACTTAGCGATGCCAGCATACTGTCTGATTTGTAAAGAAAGTCAATGAATCATTTACCCAGTGGATGAAACTTACTTTAATAGAAACCTTGGTGTCCTTGTGAGCTAACTTGAGAGCATTGTGGAATACCTTCAGATCCTCTTCTAAAGCCAAGGTGGCTGCTGGTAGTTTCTGTTGCTCATGCTCTATGTGCTCAGCCAGTTTCCCAGGAGAGTCTATGAAAATGAGCCTTTTGCTGCCTTTGAGGCCAGTTAGCAGCCGCTCGTGATACTTGGTATACTCCCTAACCCAGGAGTTACAGTTATAGATATAGACTGCAGAGACGTTGTCATAAGCAAAGCCAGGAAAAACAACAAACCACTTGGAGAGAAAGTCTGTTTTAAAGCGATTGCTAGGCCCAGTATGGGTAAGGTCTACTACAATTTCATATGGCTTTGCATAATATGGCTTTAAAGTCAGCAAGACGTGGTATATCAGCAAATCACCATTGATCTGACCGGTTTTGAACCTAAGAAAGATGACAAAAAGACAACTCTTTATCAGAGGCCTGAATATATAGATAGTATTAATGTAATTTATTACCTTATTTTATGATTAGTTTTCTAGAGGAAACTTCAATAATATAGAACAGTCACATGACGTCTGATCAGTTTTTTAAACCAGTTGAAACTGAGAATTGAAGCTGAAGTAAAATACCTCCAATTCAAAAACTGTGAGCAATAATAACAACATACTTGCCCACCACAGTCTAGTAAAGAGAGAGGAGTAGTTGTCTCCAGACACACCAAACTTCTCAGGTCCACAGTATCTGTGGGAATGGTCTATCTTGAGCCAATTTATTTATCCTACCATGACCTGAGAGAATTGGTCATGACTGATCGCATGACCCAAATCAAGAGTAACAAGGACTAAAGAGGCCCAATTCAGAGTTTGTTTATTTTTAAAGATTTATTTATATATGCTTACAGAACTGGGGTTCAGGCCAGAGGTTTAGGGGCAGTGAGAGGATTCACCACAGCCAGAGTGGGGAGGAGAACAAGCAGACTCATGAAGTACACTGTTGAGGGGAGCAGAAGGTGGGTCGGAGAGGTCTGCCATGCCATGTGGGTCACCTCTGGGGCTGAGGCTCCAATCCACACCAAAGCAGCTGTGGCTGGCTTGCAGTGCTGAGCTTTAACCCGCTGCACCACCAGGGAGGGCCCAGAGTTTTTAGTTTAGACTGCAAGATTTTGAGACTTCTTCTTTTCAACTGTTTATAAACAAGGGAACACACATTTGTTGCTTGTATCTTGGGGAACAATAAAGGCATGCCTAACAACTAAGGAAATGGAGCTGATTAATATAGATAGAAACTGGGCTCCTGGCATCTAAGTCCTAGATAAAATCTCTCCTCAGATGAAATTTATCCCTGGACTACTGAGTTATGTGAACCAATAAGCTCCATTTTTTATGAAACCATTTTAGGTCTTTTATTGCTTACAGTGAAAACAATTCTAATCAACACAGCATATAGCCAACATAAGAAACATCAGAAAGCCCTGAAGAACACAGTGCTAGAATTTTAAATAAAAACAATCCATATTAACTTTGGCCTAAGGGTCTATACCAGATAATTCTGGTAGTAGTAGACAAAGAAAGCTAAAATAAATATCCTCACCTCAGAGCTTTTACTCTCTTGGGGAGAATATGAGATTAAAAAATTAGATGATTTTAAAATAAAGGAAACAGTTCAAGTTAGTATGTAATCATTTACAAAGGAACTGCAGTGAAAAACACACTACTTTTGAGTTGAGGCGAGTATGAGATCAACACAAAAATGGTTATCAGTGAAAATTACACAGAAAGCAGTGTTTCAAACTCAACAAGAAAAGGGATCCACAAGCGTCATGGAGAAAAAAGAAACAGGTAATGAGACATGCTCAAGCAACAGTCAGCTAATTTAGCTGGAATGGAGGAGTCATGTAAAGAAGTTTTATAGGTAAGGCTGGAAAAATACCTATTTTCAAATTGTAATGGGACCAAAACTGTTCTGCTGAACTGTCAGGTTTTCTCTCAGGTTGTGAGGCACCAGCATCAATTTTTAACTGCAGGACCTTGATAAAAATGCAGTTTCAGCAAAGAAGATACAATGGAACAAAGAAAATTTGTTCAGCAAATGGTGCTGGGAAAACTGGGAAGCTACATGCAAAAAAAATGAAACTAGATCACTGTCTCAATTGCAGTCACAAAAATCAACTCGAAGTGGATTAAAGACCTAGACACAAGAACGGAAACCATAAAATACCTGGAAGCAAAGATGGGTCAAACTCTACATACACTTCAGCGACATCTTTAAAGACAGAGCACCCATTGCAAAGATAGTGAAGGCAAAGATAAATAGATGGGACTATATCATCAAGTTAAAGAGCTTCTGTACAGCAAAAGAGACATTACAAAAAAACAAACAGACAGCCCACTAATTGGGAAAACATTTTCTCACACAAAAGTAGTGATAAAGGACTGACCACAAAAATATACAGAGAACTGACAAAACTCAACAAAAATAAACAAC